TTTGAGAGCGGCTGCGGGACAGAAAAACTCTGCCTACATGGTGCCATGCCCAGTTTATGGGGGGATTCTAGGTGAGTACTCGACCAAGTGAACTACGTCTCTAGGCCTTGATGTCTAATCTGAGTGCAGAAAAGAAAGCAGTGCTAGCCCAGAGGCCAAGTGTATTCTCTTCTACCTACCGTAAGCACTTTTGAGGCAGCTTCTGCGAGGTGGCTTCGCAGAACCAATCTACAGATGAGATAAGTCAGTTCTGGACCTGGAGCTTCTCTGGCTACACGACTTCCCACTGTTCACTGGCTTAGCCTCTGGCCCTTATATCAGACCTGCCTGTTGGGCTGGGTTTTTTTCATGGCTACCCTTTTACCTCTACAAATAAGACTGTTTAATAGGCTCTTGCCCCACATGGCTGTGAGTCCCATTCTGTGCTGACATCAGGACCAGTCTTGCCTTAGTCAGGAGGCTAGAAAGACTTTTGCCTCAGAAGTTGACATCAAGTCTTTTTAAATTCTTGGTAGCTGGCCCCGTAGCAGCCTCGAGTCCTGGGACTTAAAACTGACCCTTAACTTGTCTATCCACTTAATAAGTATTCATTGAGCAACTGTTATATATCAGCCACGGTATTAAGCCCACAAATACAGCAGTACCTAAAACAGGGAGAACCACCCACCCCCCCATCCCCTTCTATTCTGTTCTGAGAGAATGACTCTTGGTCAGCCTTTGTCATCTGATCGTTAAGTCACTCCGAGAACATTGCCTCTTGAACTTCAGTTCTTTCCGATCACCTCGGGATCTTGTTAAGATGCAGACTGTGATTCAGGAAGTCAGCCTGGGCTCTGAAATCTGCACTACCAGCTAGCTCTCAAATGCTGCCTTGGCTGTGGCTGCTGGGGATTCTGGCTGGTTACAGCTGGAGTGGTAACAGTGCCCAGCCAGCGGCATGCACAGTATCTGATACCCTGTTAGAGAGATGCAGAGTCTCAGGCCTCACTGCAGCCCCGTTGGCTCAGGATTGACCCTATCACCCAGATTCCCTAGTGCTGAACATCCCTCATGCAGGATGACCATTTGCAAATCATATGCAGCACCTAAAGGACCTGGAGAGCATTATGAAGTGTCCCAGGACCCCCATTCTCTAACCAGGGATGCATATTATCTGGTGATGGGGATCCTAGATGATTCAGCTAGGTACCAGGGTTGACAGCATCGGGGAGCATCTTGGGAGGGTATTTTCCTGAGTTCATGGAACTTCACCATGGAAAAGGCTGTAGAATTCATCTGATGACAGGCAACTGGGGTCATGGGCTCCACGGACATATCACACAAATCCCTCTGCAAACTGAGGCTGACTAAATTGGGTGTCCGCTTCTAACCCTAGCTCTGGGGGAGGTGGAGGCAGGAGAATCAGAAGTTCAGAGATCTCTTCAGGAAAGCAGTCGAGAGGGCCGAGAATGGAGCCAGTTTCAATCCTCTCAGATTGAATTGGGCCCCTTGTGGCCGGATCAGTTCTAGGAGGAAAGAAGCAGGAACCATGTAAAATGCAGCAGATATGGTGACGTACACTTGTAAACCCTGAGCTGGGGAGTCAGAGACAGGGGCATCCCTGGGACTTGCTAGCCAATATAGCTCCGCCTACTTGCGGAGCTCCAGATCAGAAAACAAAACAAACAAACGAAAGCCCCAAACTCTGTCAAACCGGGACTGTGAGAAGGCTCTGTAGGCAAAGGCATTTATAATCCCAGTACTCCTTAGCACAGGCAGGAAGATCTCTGTGAGTTCAAGGCCAGCCTAATCACTACATAGAAAGCTCCAAGCCAACCAAGGATACCTAGTGAGACCCTGTCTTAAAAAAAAAAAAATCAATCAGTCAACAAATAAAAATAAAGCCAATCAACCAACTAAACAACAAGAAACTAAAGGAAAGAAAACAACAACAATCAAAAACCCCACTACACTTCCTGCCCCTCAAAAATGGGAGACCTAGGGAGCCACAGGGCTGGCCGTAAAAGTAAGCTCGCTTTGTGGGCAGCTCTTTCTCACCAGCTGCTTCTGCAGCAGCTGCCCCGTGGCCCAGCGTCCCACCTACTGTAGGAATGCCTGTCTTTGACCAGTTCCCGCCCCTTGCCTCCTCTGACTGGGTTCAGCCCATTTCCCCCTAAACCTCCACGCCCTACCTCAGCACCCACAGTTCTCGCCCATCCATCACCCACCAATCAGGCCAAATGTGTTGACTTTCCCAAGGCTGTTCCTGTCAGAGCCTTCCTAGCTCTTCTTGTGGAAGGTGAAATATGTGGGTGGGAAGGGTGTTGTCCGCACGACCTCCATTAATCTTTCCGGTAGCAACTGAACTTCCTGGTTTGGGTCTTGTGTCTTGGGCCTCTGGTAAGTGTCCGAGAGCTTTCCAGAATGTAGGCGAGCACCTTGCTAGTGGCTTATAACTCAAGACTTCCTTATTTTTTTTTCCAAATTGGCCACTTTCTCTCCTCCTCTGCCTACCCAGGTAAGAGTGAGTGGCTCATCCTACAAAATGAATTAAATAGACACACTTGCAATGTGGGGCCTACTACCTTGTCTAGAATTCACGGGTCCCACTTCGTCGTTTCAATTTTGGCCGTACCTTAGAACCTTCTAGGGAGTTTAAAAACCAGGTGGGATTTTTGTGTGGCTTGAACTTACACAGGTTTCATGCCTACTGCCACAGTCCATATCTAGGAGAAGGGGACGAAGGCATAAAGTCCCACCCCTAACCAAGAAGCTTTCTGCAGTTGATAGCTGCTGGGAAACAAAATCAATTTATAGAGTCACACTGGGTATATCAACCACACTCCGAGGCAGTCCTCATGCTCAGGAGTAGCTGGCCACCACGAACCAGACGCTATGGTTTTGTTTTGGGGTTTGTGAAAGGCCTGTGATTTAAAGACTGCCGAGAAGCCTACTAGCTACTTTGAGGGGACAGTGGGAACAAGTGTGTGGTGAGATGGGGCACAGAGGGTCAGGAAATACTTTCTAATGATATTGACCCATAGCAGACCTCCGTGAAGAGTTGCGGGGCTGAATCATGATGGTGGGGTTAGATAATGGCGGGTGTTGACTGCCGACCTGAGGACACCCATTCCACACAGACTGGACCCAGTGCACATCCCCAGCTTTCAGCCTTCCTTCCCGAGGCATTCTTTGCTCTAAAACTAAGCTGTTGAGGCAGAAGACCTCATTTTGAAAATGCTTGGGTCTGTCTGGAGGCAACTGAGCAGGTGCCATCTCTGCAGGAAACAACTTCCTCCTGTGGCTTCCCTTCCATTAGCACCCATGTTCCCTGGCCTGTGGGATAGGTTAGGGAGCTCACATCACTGACCCTGTGGACAAGAACAATAGCTCTAGGTCCCAAAGGGTCAGGTAGGGCATATGTGTGATAGTGGGCTGGATGGTGTGCAGCCAGGGCCCTCCCAGCATACAGAAGAGATCTGACTCCCATCACTAAGTGCTGGGAATAAAGTGTCCATCAACATGAGGCAGGTGCTTTGTTTAACCCAGGACCAGTATGGATTCTCACTTCCTCCACCTACCTCTCTGGGTTGAGATCATGATAAACAGTGGTGTCTCATAGAATCAAACCTTTCCCTTCTGGGCTGTAAGAATGCTTTTATTGTTCCGCACTTTCTAAGGTGGAAAAGAAAGAGCAAATTACAAATTCCATCTGGATTAGTAATCATCTTAATCAACTCACCAGCTGCCAACAATGTGTTACGTGTAAATAACAGGTAAGTATAGCTAATGAGAGGAGAAAGCCATTGTTTCCTTCATACTTCATTCAAGAATTCAGGACAGGGGCTGAAGAGATGGCTCAGCAGTTAAGAGCACTGACTGCTCTTCCAGGGGACCTGGGTTCAATTCCCAGCATCCACATGGCTGCTCACAAATGTCTGTAACTCCAGTTTTAGGTGATCTGACACCCATGACAAAATACCAATGCACATAAAATAAAAAAGAGAATTCAAGACAGTTCATATGGTATCTCTTTTCTGTCTATGTGTTATATTGTGTATACATGTGCACTGGTGCTTGTGTGGAGGCCAGAGGTCAATGTCAGTTTCCTTCTTCTCCACCCTGTCTGTCTATCTGTCTATCTATCTATCTATCCATCTATCTATCTATTTTAAGACAGGTTCTTTAGTGAACCTGGGACTCTGCTTTGGCTAGACTACCACTCAATACATGCCTATCATATTTGAAAATTTAAAAATATAACCTCTGGATTCTGAAGATTTGGGTTCAAGACCAAGACTTTCCACTCACAACTTGAGCAACCTTGGTCAAGTCAATCACTCTCATCCCCAGTTACCTCTCGTGGACATGGAAACACTATTATAGGTTTAACAAGGTGATTGGGAAGACCACTTAAGACAACAACAACAACAACAAGGGGCTGGAGAGATGGCTCAGCCGACATGAGTACTTGTTGCTCTGGCGGAGGACCTGGGTTTGGTTCCCAGTACCCACACGGTGGCTCACAGCCATCCTAACACTCCCATTCCGGGAGATCCTATGCACTCTTCTGAACTCCTCCGCTACCAGGCACACAGGTGGTGGACAAACAGGCATGCAAACAAAACACTTAGACACATAAAACTAAGTAAATCCAGGAACAAATTAGAAAAATAAAATAGGGAGAATTATTATAAACACACAAAATGAAGCAAAAACAACAACAGCAAAAATAATAAAATCGTGATTATTAATTGGGGCATGAAGTCAACAATGAGGTAGGGCTGCTTGCACAGGCATAAAAAAATGAATAACGGCCAAATAGTAGACCAATGCCCAGTGGGAAAGGCACCCATGTTTGGAGCCAGGCAGATGTGAAGTTTGTTAACTTCTGCATGGAGGAGGGTCCATCCCATAATGCCACAAAACTCACTGCCTATAAAGCAGAGTCAGAGAATTCAAGGACCACGCCCCAAGAGGGCGTGGCTTCTAAGATCAACTTCCTGAGCCCCCTACCGGAAGCGGCTCGTGCCCCGGAAGCAGTTGTTCCGCTAGCTCTTGAGGCCGGCCTGGGACAGAGTCCCGGGACCGACGCCATGCTGCTTTCGGCCGTCTCTTGTAAGTTGGTCTGGGGCGGCGGCAGGGCCGAGGCGGTGACAGGCAGGTCGTGAGGCGGAGCCAGGCGGGGTGGAGGGCCCGGCGGGGGAAGCTGCCAGCCCGCGCGCGCCTCCCGGGTCCGGTTACAGGGTCGGGGCCCCCCCGCCGCCCTCGGTGGGATGTCCGGAGGATCACTCCCCCGGCCGCCGCGGTGCATTACCGCCTCCGTCCTCCGGCTCCTCGCCGACTTCCCCATGAGATAATCGTTCTCACCTCACGTGACTTTTGCTGCGGTTTGCCAAGTTCACCTGTCGAAACGAGAGGCTTGTGGTACTGCATGCACATAGTTGCAAATAGAGCACATCCTACTTTAGAAAGATTTTAAGGCGCCAGTCAACTCCATGGATTGTCTTAAAAAAATAAATGTTCACACCAATTTTGTTGGTTTGATTACTCTCTAATATCCAGGAAAGTTATTTTAGGGTAAACGTGGCATAGTCCCTAAGTGTTGTTGGGTTATTATGATGTTTATAAGGGACTTTGAATAAAATAAATAATAAATGTATCTTTTTCTTTTTCTCTTCCAACCTTTACCCAAAAAAAGTTGCCAAGAGCAAGTCAAAGTAAGTAAAAGTGTTGGTTTTATTTAAACTTTGCGTATTTCTATTGGGGTTGGTAGTCTGTGTGCTGCCAGTGTATCTGTTTCTCAGACCAAGTTGATTTGGGGTTATTTATTTGGCTAATTATTTTGTCGGTGTGAATGCCTTGAAAAAATAAAATACAGATGCATCTTGAGTTGATAGTGATGCAATTGATGATATTTCTGCCCTGGGTTGCAGATACATAAACTGAAAATGCATTTAGTGTACCTAAACCACAGAATACATAGCTTATTGACTCAGTACTTAGGCATGATTGGCTGCTTCCTCTTCCAAGTTTGTGGCTGATAGGCAGCTGTGGTACCCGCTGCCCAGCATCTCCCAAGAGTACCCATTACTGGCCCAGGAGAAGAGCATAGTTGGAAATCTGGCCTCTTCCAAAGTGTCACATTTACACTGAGGTATAATTAAAAATCAATTTGAGGACTGTCCTGTTTCCCTCCTGTCCCACCGAGTAACTCCAGTGAGTAGTCATGTCCTTTGTTTAAAGGAGCTTTGGCTTCTTTTCGTATCTCAGGATTTAGCCTCTCAGTTCATTGTTGTGTTCCTAAACAAGCTGTCAGGCTGTTGCTCTGTTTGGCTCATCACCAAAATCCTGTTTCCTCAGAGTGAGGACCAAGAAGCTCTTGCCTGGAGTCTTCTTCGAATCTCCAGATGTGCTCTGATTTGATTAAATCCTAGAGCCTGTTTTGAGTTTGGAAATCAGTCTAAGCACTAGAAAAATTGTATAGCTAAACATTAGGCAGGTGTACTAGAGGGTAGAAATATGCCTTGCCTTTTTCTTTATGTGCCAGTTCATCTGTACTGTAATTTTAGTCCCTAAAGGACGTAGACTTAGTTTTATGCTTCTTGTAAGGCTCGTCATTTTTTGAATCTTTATGAATGATTGAGTAATTATGTAACCCCACTCCCATCCCCCAGTAGTGGGGATTGAACCCAGGGCCAAATGCATGTTCAGAACAGTGCCTCTGAAGACTATCAAATTGTTTGTTGATGAATTAAGAAAAACAATGATGCCAGGTCTGTGTTGCAGACCAATAACCCAAACCATTCAGGAGCCTGGAGCAAGTTCATAGTCAGCCTGGGCAACTCACTCAGGCTGTCTGAAAACTTAGAAAAATAAACAGAGGACTGGACAGAATTCAGCAGGAGAGGATTTGCCCAGCATACATTTGGCCCTAGGTCTTAGATGCTTCAAATTTGTTTGGGAATGGCATGAGAATGATGTCTTCTGTGGGGAGACAAGATAGCACACATATGACAGAGTAACAGAACAGGTGTTTAAGGGCCCGGGGAGGCAAACCATACGTTTTATGGTTTGGATGATTAATTTAAATGAAATATGAAGGTGCCCAGGGCTTGTGCATTAGTGGTGTGAAACTTCAGATCTCTTGATTTTGTCCCTTCCTGATTGTACTGCTATTAGTCACTTTGGAAGACTGGCTTTCTTGAGGCAGCCATCTTCAAGGTTGCCATAGGCCAGCTGTGACCACCTACTCTTGGATGTTCTTCTACCTGACTTCTGCTCCTCATGGGAGTGGCCTCAGAGGCTCTTTCTCTGACTTGACTTGATTACGCCTGCTGTTTGGTGAGGTGGTTACCAAGTCCCTGTAGGTGACTACCTTGGGATTCAGAGCCACTGAAATTGCTTTATGGGTAATATAGACTGTCATAGCGTGGACCCTTCTTAGGGCCGAGTAATATTCATAACTTTGTGACTCCACATAAGTCGCATGGTGTGCTGTGTGTTCATGGTGGCCCAGTGTGTTTCCTCAGCTCATAACAGTGTACTTCTTGATCTTAGGACCATTCTGGTGAGGCTGGTGAGCCAAGCTGGGACAGGTTTCTCCTTCAACCACAAGAGAAGCCGACTCCGAGAAAAGCTGACTCTTCTGCATTATGATCCAATCGGTAAGACTGGGAGAAGTGATGTCACGGCAGGGAGTGATGTCACAGCGGGGAGTGATGTCACAGCGGGGAGTGATGTCACAGCAGGGCAAAAGCTTTCAGGGCCTTCTGAGTCCTTTCCTGAATGACTGTCTTTGGTGATTTTGTGGCCCCTTTGGAATCATGACATTCATTCACCATGTTTATTATGGCACTAGCTAGCTGCCATGCCGGGTTTGGGTATACCAGGACACAGTCTCTGCTCTTGGCATTTATAGTTGGTTTGGGAGGGAGAGGGAGGAAGTGACAGTGTGATAAATAAGTGCTGTGAGTGAGGTCACTGGGATGGAGTAGGGCTGGGGCTGTTGGGAGATTCTTTGAGCTGGGGTAGTCAGGCAGAGTCCCTGAGAAGGGTTGATTCCGTAAAGGTAGGAAATCAGCCACGCAAAGAATTGGCAGCAGCTGTCTGCAAAGGGGAGGCGTGGTCTGAAGGGCAAGTTACAAGGTACAGATGTGAACTAAATGAGTAAGAGTATATGTTGGTACATTGGGGCAGAAGAGTTGGTTTTCTATTGTGCTAGCTACCAAAAATGCCATAGTAAATGCTAACTTCAAAGTTGTCTAAGAAAGACGTGCTTGGGCTGATGAGATGGCTCCGCGGATTGAGGCCAGTAAGCCTGGTGACCTGAGTTCCATCATTGCGGCCCACAGAGTAGGAGGAATGTTCTCTGATCTACACACATCTGCCATGGCATACATGTACCCCGCCCCATATGTGTACAATAAATAAATGCAATAAATTAAAAAGAGAGATATGTTCCAAAGGCTAGATTGTCCACTCACAAATCCAGCCACTGTTGGTGGAAGCGCACCCTTTTAGGAGCCCACACAGTGATAAGTGTTTATTAAATGAGCTTCTGTGGTAGTTTAACTATGTGTTGGAATTTCATCCTTAGTGTGGAGGGGGTACTGGGAAGTTAGGATTTGCCAGATAGTTTTGTTTGACCTGAGGTAAGGACCTCAGATCACAAGTTCATACGTCAGCTTCCTGTACACAACTAGGTTTTCTTTTCTGTTCTGTTCTTTTTGGTTTTTCATGACAAGGTTTCTCTGTGTAACAATTTTGGCTGGCTTTGTAGACCAGGCTGGCCTTGAACTCAGAGAGAGAGATCCGCTTGCCTCTGCCTCCCGAGTACTGAGATTAAAGGTGTGCGCCACCATGTACAGCCACAACTAGGTTTTCTGATAGGAAATGTCTGAACCTTGGTAGCAAAGTGTCTTTTCTGGAGAAGGTAATGTCCTGGGGTAGCCGATGCCTGACTTTCTGTTCTTCTATGGGATGCCCTGCAGATTTGCCATGATGAAGATGTTTGCCTTGGGGCCAGCTTTGCTCAGGGTACCAGAGAATTTGGCCGTTTCCCATCATTTTATTGCCATGAGTAAAGTTGGTTGGCGGCTGATGTTCTGTTAGTCTCTAATGAAGCAAAACAGGAATGAAATACAGGATTCCCAATCACTTGACCGTTTCACAGAGTACTTGGAGGCAACATCAGCTGCATCTGCCTCTTTTATACACACACACACACACACACACACACACACACACACACACACACATTTATTTGTGAGTGTTTTGCCTACATGTGTACGTATATGCACCCTGTGTGTGCTTGTGTTGCCCATGGAGGTCAGAAAGGGCGTTGGGTTCCCTGAAGCTGGAGTTCCGCATGATTGTGGACCACCATGTGGGCGCTGGGAATCAAACCCGGGTCCCCTTGACACCCCTGAGACATCTCCAGCCCCCACCTCTGTCTTTAGACTCCTTTCCTCATATAGGATGCCAAGGAGGAAGGATTAAAGGCTGAGGCATAAGCGTATTAAACTTTGTTTATCATGAAGAGAAGGAAAACTTGTCAGTTTTAATTCTGTGGATCACTAAACAAGGCAATACAGACTTTAATTGGAACAGAATAGATTTAGGTTGGCTTTACGGAAAGAACTTGACAGATTCATTCTTCTAGGAATTAAACAGCAAATATTTTGACTGAAAATTACATTATGTTTAGTGTTGTGGATAGCAGTGTGTCATTTCAGCTCAACTCACATGAGTGCTCACTGTTTATCTGGCCACAGCTCTGAGGGATGGGGTTGTCTTTCACACCAGGGAGGAAATGGAGAGGAGAGGGTTTTGATACTTGCCCAGGGGCTCGGGGCGGAGGAATAGTGGAGCCACAGTCCTTCCGTCCTTCCCCGGCTGTTTTGTCCGAGGACCTTGTGCAAGCACTCATGAATATTGTGCGAGCTCCTTGGAGTCCGTGGTAGAACCCAGCCCTTCTGCTGTTTCTAGTACATGGGGCCAATTTTATCTTCTAATTTTTTTTAAAATACATTTTAGCTGAAATCCATTACATTGTTTCTCTCCTCCCTGCAGCTCCTGTCAGCTACCCTCCATCGAACCCCTCTGATGGTCCCTCCAAACTGATAGCCTTTTTCTCATTATTGTTATATGCATATGTATGTATGTATGTGTATGTGTGTGCACATCAGGGCTGACTGCTGTTCACTGGACAATCAATAAGGGACTCGTCCTTGGACGAGACTAATTGTCCTAGAAGCCATTAGCTGTGTGCAGTTCTTTGTCTAGGGGTGGGACCCCATGACACTTTCCCCTTTCATGTTAACGTGTCCATGATACTGCCGTTGTTCCAGTCTGGTTTGTGCAGCCATTTCCAGGAGAGACTGTTCCACCTCAGACTTCTTGGTGTTCTGGCTCTTACAGTCTCTCTGCCCCTCTTCCATGATGTCCCCTGAGCCACAGATCAGGAGCTCTGATGTGGGTGGATCTGTTGGGGATCTTTGTTGTGTCCAGTTGTGGTTTTCTGTGATGGTCTCCATTTGTTCAAGAGAAGCCTCGTTGTGAGGGATGGTAGCTACACTCAGCAGGAAAGGTGGCTCGAGCACCTTCCTAATACTTGTTTAGGACCTTGGCTGGGGATATGCGTGGCTCAGTGGTTGAGTACCTGTTTTCTGTCTCCAAGGTCCTAAGTCAACCCCTAGCACAGCCCTGCAGCCACAGACCAACCAGATCGGAAGAGAAGAGTTAGGACCTCTCCTGCCGTCGGCCCAGCATTCAGAGCTCCGCTGATGTCCTTGTTCTGCCTCTTAGCTATTTTTATTTATGGTTTCAGTATGGCACACAGTGGGCGGATGCTGCCCTGCGCTGTGGCCCTGTGACCCGAGCCTCTGCGTCCAGGTGTCCCTGTGCTTGAGGGAGTAAGCTCTGACTTCTCCCTGAGGTCTGACTTTTTTATCCCTCTTTTCTTTTTTAATTTTGAAACAGGGTCTCATTGTATGTCCTTGGCTGGCCTGGGACTCAGATCCACCTGCCTCTGTCTCCCTTTGGGATTACAATGCCCAATCTGTTTCTGTTTTTTTGGGTGGGGTGGGGTAGGGAGCATCATGTCCCGTGTAGCCCAAGGTGGCCTTGAACTTGAACTCCTGTTCCTGCCGTCAGAGTGCTGGGATTATAGGCATTCACCACATTTGCTCTGATCTCCAGGTCTCCAGGTTCGTAAGCGTTACTGGGTTTTCACATGCTCATCACATTTAATACAGGGTACACTACTGTATTAAATTAGGGTCTCTATATAAACTGCAGTGCTTGCCACTGCCCTGTGCACTTAACTCTTAATTAAAGGAATAAATACAGAGAATAAAGGAATTTTAATGTTTAAAGCCTTGTTCTATTTGTTGCTGTTTTTTGAGACAGAGTCTCTGTGTATCACTGGCTGGCCTGGAACTTGGTATTAGACCAGGCTGGCCTGGAACCCACAGAGATCCACCTCCTCCCGCCCCGCCCCCGCCCCGAGTGCTGGGATTACAGGTGTGTACACCTTGACCAGTTTAAGGCCTGTCTAATAATCAGTGACTTCTGGACATGGCCATTTAATAACTCCTGATTGCTTCTCAGAGCATGAAGATATTCTCTCATGTCAGTGATTCGAACTATGTGAACAGTACCCCTTATATAATGTCTGTGTATTTTATTAATTTAGTGCATTTCTCTCGACTGGTTAATGGTGCTTAAGTTCAGCTGTCTAGAGAATTAAAAAAAAATAGTTGAATTCCTGCTTCTGAACTGGAATTAGGATAGAGGTGAGATTTTTATTTCATTATTTTGTTTTTGTAAGGGTGATTTGGCTGCCTGTATGTCCATGTAACACGAGTGTACCTGGTGTTTGCAGAGACTAGAGGAGGATGTCAGATGTCCTGGAACTGGAGTTATGGATGGTTGTTAGCTAGCATGTAGGTGCTGGGAATTGAACCTGGGTCCTTTGCAAAGGCAACCAGTGCTCATAACCACTGAGCTTTTCTTCTGCCTGCAGCAATGTATTTTAATAAGTTCTCTAGCTAATTCTTAATCATGGTTTGGAAATTTAATAAGGGATATATCCATTTTCATTGTAGAAGAAGAGAAAAAAAAAGTTGAAATGCCTGTATGGTCAGGATCAGTGAGGAGTTGTGAGGTCGCACGGTCTTTTGGCCTCCTGGGTTTCCTTTGGCTATCTATCTTGTTTTCTGGTAAAAGAGAATCAGGTCAGGCGTGTGTGTGTGTGTGTGTGTGTGTGTGTGTGTGTGTGTGTGTGTGTGTGTGTGTATGTGTGTGTATGTGTATGTGTATGTATGGTAGGGTTGCCTGGAGGCTGGTGGTGGATTTTAGGACACTGGGGCCTGTGAAAGCCTCATTGGTGTGTGTGTGTGTGTGTGTGTGTGTGTGTGTGTGTGTGTGTGTGTGTGGTAGGGTTGCCTGGAGGCTGGTGGTGGATTTTAGGACACGGGGGGCCTATGAAAGCCTCGTCTCTCACCAAGGCAGGCAGGTAGCACTTTTGTTTTGGGGACCTACTCTGTGAATTACAGTATTGAGGTTTGGCTCTAGTGCCGCATTGTTGATCTGGACCATTCCTATTTGGGTGTGCAGCCGTCTCTACACAGTAGAGGTGTGTGGAATTTGCCCTCCCTTCTGACTACGTTCCTCTGTGGACTGCTCAGCTCTCAGTGCTGTTCTGGAGCCCTGTGCCCGGCCAGTTGTTGCTTACCCACTATGAGAGTGGACCCTGAGTCAGAGTTTGCCACGTTTATCCCCAGTATCTCACAGTGATTGAGATAATGACTTCGCGGCCTGTCAGGACAGTGCTCATTGGCTGGTGACCTTCCCTGGGCTTCTTCCCCGTTTCTGTCTGTCTTCTCTGGCCTCAGCTGGGTTTGACATCGCTCATCCTCATGTCAAAGGAATAGTAACACAAGGGAAAAGGAGAGGACTGGGGCATGATTGATGTGTGTGTGGATGAAATGATGGCACTTCCTAGTTTTCTGCTACAACCCCTTTTTCTTGCCTCGCAGTGAACAAAAAAGTTCTCTTCGTGGAACAGAAAAAAATACGCTCCCTCTAATCAATGGATTGAGAGTGAATTTGATTCATAAACGGGAAGACGGAGGTGAGGCCCTGGCTCAGAGACCTGCAGTGTGTACTGACGAAGAGGAACCGCCAGCATGGCCGCTGGTGAGGTGAAGGCCGCTGTGAAGGAACAGTGCCGTGAAAGAGTTCTTCACGGAGACCAGATAGTTCTCTCTCTGTAGTTTTTATAGGCGGTAATAAAAAATGTCGAAACAGCCTGTGCTCTTGTCTCGTAGTGATATTTTCCCCTACTATTTGAAACTTTAAAAAAAAACCAAACAACTAACCACCTTACCAAGAAAATACCTACTGTCTCACACGAGAGAAGCCGTTTCCACGGTGAGACTTGAGCAAGGGCTCCTAGGCTGCTCCTCGTGCCTCCACAGGACAGTGTTCCAGGTTGGAGCGACTGCCCTGTGACGGCAGCGCAGCGAGCAGCTGGAAGAAGGAAGGGAACATCTGCTTTGGTTTGTGATGGGTGGTTAGGAACGCTGCCATTGGTCCATCTTCTCAAACAGCTACCAGAGCCGGAGACGGGTGGTTTATGGTTCTTCTCAAACAGCTACCAGAGCTGGAGACGGGTGGTTTATGGTTTGAGGTTTGAGACAAGCTCCCACCAGGTAATTAGGCTGGCCTGGAGCTTGCTGTGCAGTCCAGAGTGGTCCCAGGCCCCGAGGACGGCAGTAGACTGGATTGTACCTCTCTTTTACAAGAAGCTATGGTATGTTCCATACGGCTGCTTCGGGCGTGCTGATACTCCATGGCCAACTCTGATAGCTCTTGTGTTCATCTATGACTGCTGCCTCTCCTCATCCCCTTTCCCACTCAGGCTGTTCCCACCATTTTTCCAAACTCCCCAGCTTCCTCCATTTTTTTTTTCCCCACAGATTTTTGGCTTGAAGAGAAAGATGAGTTGTTTCAGAATTGCTAGTCCGTATCCTACTTCATTTAAAATGCCTGAGAAAATGTAGTGTCCCCCTGGCCATAAGCATCAGGAACCAGTGCTGTCCCCAAATAGCAAGTGTGTGTCCCAAGGTGCAGTCTGTGATTTTGGAGGGAACCAAGCAGCTCTCACAAAATGTAAACATGTAAACAGAACAACTTGCTGGGAGTTGGGACCCAAGAACCAAGCTCAGGGGCTGGAGAGATGGCTCAGAGGTTGGGAGCACTGACTGCTCTTCCAGAGGTCCTGAGTTCAATTCCCAGCAACCATATAGTGGCTCACAACCATCTGTAATGAGATCTGGTGCCCTCTTCTGGCCTGCAGTCACATATGCTGTATACATAGTAAATAAATGAATTTTTAAAAAAAAAAAAAAAAAAAAAAAAAAAGAACCAAACTCAGGTCATCAGGCCAGGTGGCAAGCACCTCCAGCATCGAGCCATCTTGTCTCTCTCTCTCTTTCTCTCTTTCTCTCCCTCCCTCCCTCCCTCCCTCCCTCTCTCCCTCTCTCCCCCCCCCCTCCTCTCTTCTCTCTCTCTCCTCTCTCCCCTCCTCCTCCTCTCTCTCTCTCTCTCTCTCTCTCTCTCTCTCTCTCTCTCTCTCTCTCTCCCCTCTCTGTCCTCTCTCTCTCTCCCATTTCATCTTGAACTACTGATCTGTCTCCACCTCCTAGGTGCTGGGATTACAGGCATGGGCCACCACATCAGCTCAGGCAGTGATGAAGCCCTGTGCCTCGTGCATTCTAGACAAGCACTCTACTAACCGAGCGACATCCCTAGCCCCCCAAGCAGGTCTGACAATGTAGGCTAAAGGGTATTAGCTGTCTCTCCCAAGACCACTGCTACCCCCCCCTTTCCGTTTGGAACATTCTTTGCCCTGGCTCTAAACACTGCTGCCCAGCATGCTTTCAGCACTAGAATTTGCTGCTCTCTACATAGTGGTACTGTTTGTACGGATTCTGAGGGTGGAACCTAATTCTAGTTGATGTTGTGAATATGAAAAAGCAAAGCATCGCTCTGAGTGACGGCTTGATGACTTCATAAATGAACATAATATTTACAGAGGAAGGGCATTTTTCTAGCAATTGTGAGCTAAGAATGGCCACACCCACGTGCATTTTATTTCCAGATTACATGTATTTGGGGGCAGCAGCAGTCAGAACAGAGCAAGAGGAAGGTCTCTCTTGTATGGATAAGAGGACTGTGTTCCTGTAGCCTGGACGCTGACTGTGGCGATGAAATTTGATCTCTTGAGCATTTCTTCCAAGGATAGATTTGGGTAGTAGGCCAGGTAGAAGGCCAGAGCCCCCACGAAACTGTCACCAGCACCCTGTAATGAAAGAAAAGTACAGTGAGGAAGACAAGCCCGGTCAAGCTGTGGCTCAGTGGTAGAGTACCTGCCTGGTACTCGGGAGGTCCTGGGTTCAAGCCTCAGTACCCAAACTAACCCTTTTAATTTTAGAATGGCTCCAGAGTCCCAGAGAAGGAGCAAAGACTCTAGCCCCAGCTTTGTTAACATCCAGATGTGGCACGTTTACCGTAACTGTGGAAATAATGTTACATTAGTAACTGAATTTCATACTTTATTTGGATTTTATTAGTTTCTGCTGTGTCCTTTTTCTGCCCCAGCATCCCATGCAGGATGCCATTTTACAGTTAGTTGTCATGTTTCCTTTGATGTCTGTAGGCTGCGACAGTGTCTTAAGTGTTTTTGATGACAGTTTAGAAGTCAGCTACTTTGTGGAATGTGCCTCAGAGTAGATAGGATCTCACTGTGTAGCCCAGGCTAGCCTTAGCCTCTCCAATGTGGGAGATTGCCTGGCTATGGGGTTTGTCTCTAAATTGTCACATCAAAGGAAGGCTGTGTGTTGTGAGAGTCTCCTCGACCATGTGGCTGAGTGGCTTGTACCAGGTGTCTCTAATGTCATTGTCCACTTTCCATATTATACTCTGTAAGCTGGTCACTAAGGATCCAATCCTCCACCTCTCACCCACCAAGCAGGCTCTTACATAGCTCAGGCTGGCTTCAAAGGCTCTTTGAGTAGCCAAGAATGACCCTGAACTCCCGATCCTCTGGCCTCACCCTGCTGCATGCTGGGATTGCAGGCATGCACCACCACACCAGGTTCATGTGGTGGTGCGAGGGACTGAGCCTATGGCTTCATGCATGACAGGCAGGCACTCCAGCTACATCCTTAGCCAGACACTCTGTTCTTAAGTGGGTAGAGTTCCATTCTCAGCTTAAACTTTAGATCCCTGAGCATATACTATTGACATAAATTGTTTTGAGGTCTGCATTCAAAATCCCCCCCCCCCATTTATTTAATTATTTGTGTCAGTTTGAACTCATTCTTGGGGCTGTTATCTAAGATTTATTCTGTTGTCCATTCCTCCCAGCACTGGCAATGGGGCTCTTTTCAGCTGCCTCCTGTATCTCCTACGCTATCTCCATCATTTTTTTTTTTGCTTGCTTGCTTTCTGGGACAAGATGCCCCAGGCTCATTTTGTATGTCCCCTTCTAACCCTAAAATTAGCCATTAAAGATGCATGCAAAGTGGTGAGAACCAACCATTGAGATACATGTTCTCAAACCAAATACAGGGAAAAGCATCTCTCTTTCCATTTCCAGGGTCTGTGTTGGAGAAGGTCATGGAGGAAAAAATGAATACCCTAACGAAGTCTGTTCATCAGTGCCTCTAGGGTGGTACTTCGTCATGTATTCATGTAACTGGTATGTTTAAAACCATTTTAAGTGTCATTTCAGAATCTCACTTTGGAAATTCTGGTATCAGCTGCTTTCAGGGGCGTTTCCAGTGTCCTTCCTTCCCTCAGACCCAGTTTTCACAGTTCTTGGTAACTCTTGTGGCTGTTCTAACCACTGCAAAGAGGGAGCCCTGGCATGTAATTGTTTCTGTTGCAGCTGAAACATCCATTGAGCTATGTGTCCAGCACAGTGATGGACAGTAAGAAAAGAGGCACGGTGTTGAAGGATTTTAGTCCCAGGATTTAATCAGTAGGCAGAGGCAGAAACTACAATCCCGAGGCTAGCCTGGGCTACATAATAACTCAAGGCTAGCCAGGACTACATAGTGAGTCTAAAAGGGTGTGTGTGCAGAACCCACTGAGTAGTGAACAGTAGGGCAGAGTTTACAAATGGTTTGGGGTGTGTTTTGATGAGTGAGAGTCTGACTGTGCAGCCCACAGCTGGTCTGGATCTTGCCAGGTAGTCCAGGCTGGCCTGGACTTGTGATCCTCCTGTCTCGGCCTTCTGAGTCTTCGCTGGGTTTACACACTTGTGCCACCGTGCCAAGCTTAATTAGTGTGGCTTTGAAGGAAGGGTTTGAGAAAACCTCTGGGGTTTTTCTAGAAGAAGCTGGATTTCTAGGCAGAAGTCAGTCTTCACAGAACAGACCGTGGAGGAGGGAAGGGTGAGCTCAGGAGATAAGCAAAGTCATTTCACTTTGTCTACACAGCCAACATGGATGATACGAAACTTGCCAAGGGGTCATAGTAATGTGGATGTGGACCTCCTGCCCTCCTTTCCCTCCCTCCCTCCTCCTCCCCTCCCTTTCCCCTCTTATTCTGAGCTCCTAGCCGTTTTTTTGCTAAGTTCATTTTTTTCCCTAAAGGATGGAATGGAGGGAACGACATTATTCTCAGGCATCTTCGGCTTTCCAGCCCAGCAGCCTGACATGAGAGGGGCTGAGACCAGAGGAACAGGGAGCTGAAGGGCGTAGTGGCTTACACCTGTAATCCTAGCACTCCAGAGGCTGAGGCAGGACGATCACTGCAAGTTCAAGGCCAACCTGGTCCACAAAGAGAGTTCCAATCTAGCCAGGCCCACCTAATGAGATTGTATCTCAAAACCAAAACAACAAATAACAACAAAAGGAAACTCCTCCTCCTGCAATGTGATTTATTAAAAATGACTAGAAAATAGGGAAATTCTGACATGCCACGATTAATGATTGAAGAGATGAAAATGTTTACTATCTTAACTTGATTATTACATTCTATATGTATTAG